CAAGGGTTTGTGCAAGGCAAAATGCAAAAATACCAAGCACCGGGGCCCACGTTTGAGCGGGCTTATAGCTCAGGGTAAATGCATGAAACCCCTGAGTAGTCGCTATCGTCTTCTTGGCTTTGCTGCAATAGATCCACAGCGACAGGATAGACGTTGCTCCAGCGGTTAAGTCCAAAAGACCCAAAAAAAAATTTACGCAGGGGTCCGGGGCCTGTGACGATTTGAAGAGTGTAGGGTGTATGCTTGATGATGAAGAGCCGATGATCAGATGCAGTTTTAACAGGGGAGGAACCGTATCCCCGAGCACCAGGCTATAATACGGTGAGTACTCCTCGAACCGCTTGGAGAGTGATGGAATCCGTAGCTGCGGGCTTACTTCCCTCGACAAGGGCGACGGCGGATGAAGAGGGTGTTGTCTGGCCTTCGGGCGCTGGTCTCTAGCATTGATGTGCGGTGAACAAATCGGCGCATTGGGATCCCACTTCTGACACCATTGTCTTCCTCTTTCCTCAGCAAGGAAACACCAGTGAAATACACACACCAAATGTATTTGAGATTTTACACCACTGCAACAGATCCACGTGAAAGACAGAGACAGGGAGCTTGCAGGCTTCTAGGAGGATTCTAGGTGAAGGACAAAACAAAAGGGGTGGAGACAGCGTTGTTGCTTGTCTTTTACATCCATGCAGGCAGGCGCACGCACGGCAGGCGGCAGCGAAGTGGCGGTGCAGCACATGACTGGAGAAAGACAGTCGAATTTTTTGTGTTTAAAGATTCGTCCTTACTCGCATTGCTTATCCCTCCAAACACTTCCCGAATTCTTTGCATCGTGAAAATTTCCTGGAACCCACTCGAAGAGATGGGTCCACCACGAACTCTGTTCTCCGATCGATTCCTTCACTCGAACGCTTCGCTTCCATCATTCACGAGACGCACATACAGGCGAACGCTGGCTTCTAGAGGGAGGCACCGAAGGGGAATTGCAAACACTGCAGCAGCGTTGCAAGAACAGTGCAAACAGAGAAAGGGCAAGCGTTGGACGTCGCGTTGGACGTCGACTTCCCACTCGAGAAAAGGGCACGCCCATATTCATGCGAGAGGGAAAGTTGTTGAGCATATAACGTTGAGCATTGTTGAGCATGTATGCACTCTGCGAGAAGCTCTGCAAGAAAGAAGACAGGAGCGTGGATTCCGCGTGGGTGAGACTCCTGTAAAGTTACGGCTGGTATTTCAAGTTGCCTTTTTCAAGTTGCCTTTTTCAAGTTGCCTTTTTCAAGTTGCCTTTTTCAAGTTGCCTTTTTCAAGTTGCCTTTTTCAAGTTGCCTTTTTCAAGTTGCCTTTTTCAAGTTGCCTTTTTCAAGTGTTCTTTCCTCTTCATCATTCCAAGATATGCCATTTCCTTCATTGTCAACGAGCATGAAAATGATATGAGAATGCACATATGATTTTAATGGTTAGGTGCTAATTCAAGCTTTCACTGGCATGAAACAGAATAATTCCTCAGAAGGCGGTTCAACCTGCGTAGCAATACCACATTCGCGTTTCTTTGCTAGTTTCCTTCAGCAGAATTGTAAATGACATTCCAGTAAATGAGGCTCATTTACTTATACAATGTTAATCAAACGGTGATTCGACGTTACGTGCTTGAAATCGTTTGCTGGGACGGTTCTATTATTTTTTTGCTTTGTTGCGATGAATCGCGACGCGTCCTTGTTCGGTCACATGACCTTTATTGTGTCGATTACGCGATCCACGATCCTATAACGGTAATGTGGGAATTATATTTGTCACTATTTATTTTCATTTCAAGGCTTCGTGAGAATCAAGTTTGGAAATTACTTTTTGGGTCTGTATATTTCTTGCTGTCTGGAAGGAAAATTTAAGTAGGAGAAATTCTCTAAGTTTCGAAAAATGGAGTCCTTTCGTCTGCGAAGAATTCAACAAGAAATAGTTTTCGGTTAGATTAATTATTTGACTCAGGGATTCATTTATTTTCCCCCGGAAACTGACTTGTTTTTCCCCTTTTGCTCTGATTAAGCATGTCATTTAAATATGTATTTTTTCTTACCACCGAAACCGTCTAAGGTGTAAGGATCTCGGCATTGCAGTTGAGAGGAAGGATGGGGTCGATGCAGTCGGCGGAGCGACTGCAACTAGAACCGTTCATGCGACTGCATCAGTTGCAGTCGCATGAACATTTGCAGTCGCCTGCGTCCCAGTCCCAGTTGTACTGAGGTCGGCCGCGAGGTACTATTCGTTTTGGGTTGGCCCGATTATTAGGGCCGACGAGAAGCAGTCAAACTAAAATGATAAGTCTATCCGTATAGTCAATCCGGTTCAACCTAGACAAACGTTTAATCCTCGAAGGAGTCGCAACGTTCTCTGAGGGGGGGCCATCACGCATGAATGATTTTAGAAATGTTGATAAGATGTCTGACGAGTGCCAGGAACGCCTTGGCCCGCCACTGCTGGCCTCGAGCCCCTCTTCCACGATTCCACAGGCTGATGACAGCATAACATTGATGAACTATCATTGCATGAATCATCCAATGAATTGAAATGAAGGAGTTCAGAAGAGGGGTCGGACCCACAGGTATTTCTCGTCGACGCTGATTGATCGAAACGCATCATTTCCATCGACTGTTTTTCTTCACGCATTGCATCTTGTAGCAAAACTGCATCAATTTGATTTTCGAAACGTCTCGCACTAAAAGTGTTCCCTGAGGACATGTGCCTTACGTATAGGATTTTCATTGAAATCCCATATGTAAATTAAATCCCAAAAACAACTTCCGATCTAAATGTAGTTTCTCATGGCAGCCCCATCTCGGTAAAATAAATTAATTTACCTGGAATACCTCCCTCTTTGGGGATGTGCCCCAGAAACCGTACCACGAATATATATTTCCGTGAATTAACAAACGAAGAACTATTATTGTGCCAACTTTAAGCATTTTATTACATGTATATGAATTTCAGAATTAGCTTTAATCATTTGCGAAATGAGTCACGATCGTCTATAATTGTAGACTACAAGATTGGTACTTTCCGTCGACGATCATTTCAATGGGCACCATGAAAAATGCAACTGCGCAAATTTAGTGAAGTGCATATTTCAAATATTGACATTTTATTTTTTGGACCCGGAACGGAAAATAAGTTCGCCATTTTCCTGCCGTCGTTCCAGTCGCCTGCCCCAAATTATTACTTTTTTAATCCGTGAAATAATCGGCTCATTCGTCACGAGAGGAAGAGAGAAAATTCCCCTTCGTGATTGGAAAAAGGGAGGAAAAAAGGCGGCGAGGGGAGTAAAGGGCCCCCATCTCGTCAACATAGAGATGTCACGTGAGGAAAACGTATTCATGAAATGCCGTCCAAAGGCGCAACCCAATGGAAATCTAGAATTTCATGAATGCCCCGCTTCATTTCATGGCACCCATATGAAATGTAACACTTTCCAAAATGTAGATACAATTAGAGCACGGGGAAAATTTGCCGGGAGTTCTGGGAGCATTGGAGCCATTCGCGCAACTGGGAGGTGCAACCTCCAGCCTCGCTAACGGAGATGCCTCCAGGATTCGGAATGCATGTAGGATGCATGCTTCACGCGGCCGACATGAAAAGGTCAGGTTCCCGTCGCCGACGAAAACGAGTAGATTTTTAAATAAAGCCTCCGCCTCCGCCTGCATCCCCCGAGTCCCGAACCGCACAGTGAAGATCGGTGCGCGCGATTGCACGAGTCCCTTCTGAAGGAAGCGATTTTTATTTGAGGTTTTCCGCCATGTTCCAGGCCACAGCCATCGGGCCCATCCCCGAGATCCGGGAGAACGGGAGCGCGGTGTTCGTCTCTCGACGCAACTCTCGGTACTCCTCCGGTACGATACTTTCCCCTCATACTCCTCGTCAGGGGCGATCGCGTTCGGGTCCGAAAAATATGGATCATAACGGATGAGCACGTTGAGACATCAGATGTGCATTTGTGAACGATGCCATCTGAGGTAAACCCATTTTGCGTCCACAATCCCGACTTGAAATGAAAAGGGATGTCTCAAATGTAAAAACAATGTTTACACGATTTAGCCCGTTGCCACCCCTGAAGTCGCTACTTCCCCCTCCAGTTTTCCTTTTTTATCCCTGCATAATTATTCCCAGACGTAGGTAAAGGAAAACTGCATATTAAAAGCAATGCCCGGCTTTGGCTCAGTAATTACTGTTTTGTCACCTGCATCAACCCTCGGTAGTTTGGTGCGTCAAAATGAAGAAAACTTTTTCTCCCAAACGACGATTGTCTCCATTTTCGACTTCAACGTGTATCGCAGCTATTCTTCGGATTCAACGTTTCTATCCTGTTCGTTGGGATTCCTCAGGAGTCGCCTTGTTTATTATTCACTGACATTGAACCGACTCGTGATGCAACGAACAAAACGAATATATTATTCTCCGATTTTTTTTGCTCAGTTTCCTTACCAGATTGTAAAGTTTTGTCTATGACAAAGAATATCAAATTAAGCGATTTCTCGAAGTCATTTTTTCGTCCTAAGGAAAAATAAACAAATTGCTCCACAGCACAAAGTGTTAGTTTGCAGCAAACATCATATGCACTTCTCTGGAAACTCTCCCATCGCGTGAAAACGCATCAAAAAGCGCATCAAAAAACGCATCAAAAAACGCAGCAAGGGTCAGGGCGAGTTAGGAAGCCTCCAGGCTTACCGAAGCCTTCCGTCGTCTCTTCCGATTTTTCAGAGATCCGAATTCCTTTCAAATTCTTGCAGCTGCTCGGCGGGCCAGTGCTGCACAATGACAAGCCAGGAATGCATGTTTCACTCTTCTTCGCCTGTAGGGTGGACGATTTTGCCAATTTGGCTTTTAACGCCAATGGGACATGGTCATGGATCGTTTAATTGACGTTCTCTATGCGTTTTGTGGAAGTACTGCACATTTGAAGCGATGAGCTCGATGGGTTTTCACTTAATCCACAAATTCACAAAATCGTTGACAGCATGGGTACAGCAAGTTCTTCCGCAAAAAAATTAATGCAACTTGAAAATAGTTATAACTGAAATGGTCGTTTACATTATTTGCAGCTTTTAATTAAACCCACTTTCACCGTGCTGCAGGTGAAAAAAAAATTATTTCAGGACTTTGCATCAATTGATGATGATCTTCCAACGAAGGAAATGAGAAAAGACAATTCTCAATTGGCAATTGGTAATTCCCTTCTCTCGAAAAGAAAATGTTGGGATACGACGGCACAAGAGTTATTCCAGGAGGCCTTTTTTTTTCTATTTTGGCCTTCTATTTTTGGCCTTCTATTTTTGGCCTTCACTGGCCCCAGTGATGGCAATCCGCACCGAGCAGTGCGTTGGGTCGCCGTGCTCTGGAGCTGGAGAAGCGGCAGTTGCCTGGGCCCATTCTTGTCGCGGTTCGAGGTAGTCAAGCGGCCTGTCCACTTTGGGCGTCATGCAAGGAAAGAACATATTTCTATTCGGTAGACAGTTAATACGAATCTCACCAGAATGTGAATATGGGATGTGTAAATAAGTACCTCCATATTCATATGAAAATGATTTTACATTCTTCGTCATATCATTAAGGCCAATTTCATGCAAATGTTAGAAAACGTCCACGCAATTCTCACGTTTTCTTAAAGTTGCCTCCAAATCGTCCTGTTTGGAAATAACGTCCCAGTGAGAGACACCATTTCCTTTCTAGCCGAAACGGTACGGGAATAATCGGTCGAATACGCCATTTTCAGAATCGCTTAGCAGGCAAAACGTGGTATGGTCATGGTTGACCAATACAGAAATCTGTTTTCATTATTTGACACTAATCCATTTTGCCGCTCGGAGAAAGCTTTCTCACAAGCGAATGTGATACGTAGCACTGAGATTTACGCGGAAAATATTTAATCTTCATAATTTTCCTGCTATTATGCATGAATAACACTAGCTACCAAAGCAGTTTTTTTTTAAATTACAATTATGAATTATTTTGGGAAACCCCTGCAGGAACTATATACCCGGATCCAATGGCCAGTATCCTCCTGGAGGACTATTCCAAGGTCCCTCGCCCCTCCTGCCCCTGCCCTCCAAGCCGCCACGGGATCGCGAAGACGATCCAGAAGAAGGTCCCCATCACGAAGTGGCTCCCCCGATACAACCTAACCTGCCTGGTGTCCGACCTCATCGCCGGCTTGACCGTCGGGCTCACCATCCTCCCGCAGGGCCTCGCCTACGCGGCCATCGCGAACCTCCCCGTCCAGGTGAGGCCTCGACCGTGTTTTTCCTCAGCATCGTCCGTGCTTCTGATGTGATTTCAGGACGTGAAAAAAGCCTATGGCTCACCACTCTACAGGATATAACCCAAGCTGCAAGTAAAAAAATCAAAACCAAATTGAGCACTCTCCTCGAGCACAAGGGAATATAGCTCTTCCTCGCTCATTGCCCAAAACTCCTCATGGAGTTCTTAGTTCTATTGATGTAAGGTATGATACATGAAGATTCATGTAGGAGTTTTGATGGGGCAATCGAAGAAAGATGGAAGGGATAATCAGTTCACTGTCTCTCTTTTGCTGTTAGATTTGAGAAAGGGGTAAAATATTTAGTGTATTGCAGTAGGATATTATCCTCCACACTATTCGGGACTGACTACACAACCCGTTCAGATATTATGCTGCCGAAAAATATTATTGGTGAAACTAGTCCAAGCGGAATAATTTCATGAATTTTCTTCAATGTTGCGTGAATTTTAAAGAAACCGAACTCTTGCAAAAAAAAATCTTGAAGCCACCCTTGTAAGAAAAATGATTGACCCAATGACCGAGCGAATAGTTACGAGGAGAGAGGACGAGGAAACTGAGCGTGATGAGAGGCGATAAGAGCGACAAACGCAGTTCATCGTGTCTCTGCACATCATGAGACGCTCGCAGGGAAAAGTCTCCGAAAAGAGATATGGCCAGAAGGCAATGAAAATAGGGGGGATGGGAGGGGCAAAGCCAAACGTATTTTAAGGTCAGGTAAATAGCCGTGGCAGAAATTCGGAGCTCAGTTCATCTTTATCCATACGTTGCTGGGAACATTATCTCAACTCTGTCATAGTTTAAATAAAATGAAGTACTTCAAGGCGAAAATGTATAGTATATCCCACGACGCTGCAATCATTGCTGTCCTTGCGAAAATTGCTTGTATTGCACATACCTGGCCAGCTTAGGTCTGGTACAGACGACAGAAAGAACTGACAGGGAGAGCCCCGCGTGAGGACGTGCTTGGCCACTGAGTTTGATGGGGGAAAAACTATCCCATCAGATCGGACTGCGAACCCCTTGAAGTCTCTTTTTGAAGCCATGACCTGGCCAATCCCATGTTCCGATTTCTTAAGACGTCACAGGTCTGGATCATTTCAGTTTGGCAAGTCGGCTCATGACTTCTAGGCAGGAAGTAATCGCTGAGTCAGTGTTTGTCATTTTCCACTGTTATCGGCATTTGTTGCACTCGGTCCTTCTCTTCATTGTATTATCATTTTCCAGGCGACTTCGGTTGCATATGACGCAATTTCACCTCAAAAGACGCCAGGCATTTCCTGAAAAACAGGGCCATGGTGTCATTTTCATTGCAAGAAATGAAGATAATGGCAGACAGTGCACTCCTTTCTATTCAGAAGTAGCCTGGAATGTCTCCATTGCTTCGAATGTTCCAGCAGGAAAATCACTCATGAAACCAAGTTGTAGGTTTTACTCTAAATTTGAATGTCACTGGCTTCTCTTGGAGTGTCGCCGCTTTTAGTGTTCTGGCATCTGTGTTTTCCAAATGGAATGCATGCCTCAATTTTGCCGTTTTCTCCAACTAAGCCTGAAGATGCAATAGCTCGTGCAAATTCCTTAAGTATATTTGATACCTTCAATGCCTGTCGCGAATTCGAGCAGCAGCGGGCTGTACCGTAAACAGTACCGAATACAAAAAAAATGAAGAAATGGAATGGCCATGTCTGCAATGTCAATTAAAAATTTTTTCCCGTTGCAGTACGGCCTGTACTCCGCGTTCATGGGATGCTTCGTTTACCTCTTCGTGGGGAGCGTGAAGGATGTCACGGTCGGGCCCACAGCGGTCGTGAACGTCGTGCTCGGCCAGTTCGTCAACGTTGAGACGTTCGGGGACGACTTCGTCAAGTACGCCGTCCTCCTCTGCTTCCTCACGGGAGTCGTCGAAGTCCTGCTCGGAATCACCAGACTAGGTAAATGGCTTTTTTCCATGATTTTTTCATGTCCTCCCCTCAATTCAGCCATGCACTAATTATCATTAATATCACCGGAATGTGAAGTAATAATTGTATGCGTTGAATGGGAAAATGAGGGAAGGCATTGAGTAGGAGTCCTGAACGTGATTTCCTTCATTAATTCAAGTTATTGGATCGCGTCAATGCCAATGTAATGAAAGTGAAAATGCCGAGTCTCCTATCACGGGATGCCACTTAGACCACAGTATGGTCTCCCCTAATGACCCAATAATACGCTAGAGAATGGAAACTCGTTGATTATTGCAACCTGTGGTCATAACAGTCAGAACGAAGGTGTGCTTTCTACAAAAGTCAAAATTATGGGACATTGCTCGGATGTAAATAATTGATCCCATTTCATAATCCAACTGCTCAATCCAAGTTGCTTCGATATCGATTTTTGCATGCGCATGAAGGATATGTACAGCCAATATCATTCGCCAATGTGAGATTAGAACTTGCTGGAAACTTCATACCGGTGACTCCCAGCTGGTCAGGTCAATCAGAGAATACAATCACGCGCCATGCAAATAATAATTTCTCAGACAATAGCCAATTGTTCACTTTTTTGCACGACAGCCGATCGTCAGTTCATCGAAAATCTCCGCCATCGCCGCGATGTTCGATGGCGGAGATTTTCATTAAGCAAAGAAGGCCCAGAAAAAGAAAGCGAAATTATTTTCTTGGAGGAAAGAAAAAAGTGAAATGCGAGTGATGCAACTTTCCCCCTGTCACCGATGCATCCGCGACGCATCATCATGCGAGCCCCCGAAAATGGACATACTGAGTGCAAGCCTCCCTACAAGGAGCGTCCGCGTCCGAGATAAAGGGCATGAGTTGCATCCGTCAGAGGGGAAATATGCTGCGATGTGCTGATGCAGAATGGCCGTGATCTCGAAAGAGAGGACGACAGGCTGCCTTAACTTAGAATTTTCCCTTTTTTATTGTCCGGCTGAGCATCGCCTGCAATCGTCTTTAAATTGAGCTATTGAGCCATTTGTGTCGTTGAGCCATTGAGCCATTTGAGCCATTTGAGCCATTGAGCCATTGAGTCATTTTATGTTAGTTTTGCGGGGACCTATTGGAAAGTGGCTGAAATTGGGACCACTTTTGCACTTTGCCTCTTCGCAGCTGCGAAAGAAACCCATGTGAATTATTTTAATTTTCCTGATAAGATGTTGCCATTCAAATTTCTCAGGAACAACAAAAGCCGATTAGCTGAGACTGAAGGGAGTCGGTATCAAATATGCATCGAGGCCATACGGACTGAACCAGGCATCGCTCTGACCAACCACCGATGAAAATTCCCAGCGATTGCATGCATTCCGCACACAAAAAAAAATCTTCTCCCATGGGTTCCTCTGTTAACGAGATATAACCCTTCTACGCTTGGAGGAAACAGAGAGAAAAAGCCACAGGGACGGGAAAATTTCCAACTGTTCGTGAAACAGAGGCGAGCAATGGCCTCGATCGAAGCTCTTTAAAGCATATAGAAGTCGGTTCGTACATCTTCATAGTTCGAGTCAGATTTGCGTGTCATTATGATTCACGTGTGAATTGCGAATTTAGTCGATATATATATATTTTTTTTTTTTTGCCTCAAACATTTTATTGGTTTCACTTCATGTCTGCCATACGGGGGACAAGTCAACTCAGATTTGATGCCTCGTTTTTGGCCATCGTTTTGGTTAAGCAGGTTTCGATGCGGCCAAGCGCTTAGGGCATCAACTGTATTTCCATTAAATGGTGACCTTAACTTGTGTTCGACCCCGCATTATTTGTTGTGTTCTTTTAGAAAACATTTTTCGTTTTCCATTTTTCAAAGCGAGCATGTTCTAAAAATTCGCTTTTTTTTGAAGCGGATGAATATTGTTGCGTGCCAAATAACTATGAAATTAATTTAATGAAATCTTCGCTGCGTTAAGTCCCCGGTCGCCCTGTGCGCGAATCCTCTTCAGCGGATTCTCTGAAACACGCATAGGGTAAGCACCCCGGTGTCTGGCCGGTCTCCTTGTTGGCCACTAAGGCTTAAATCCAGCTTAATGAGTTCATGTGGTCGTTGGCAAGAGTTCTATAGACATCTTCCCGTATGAGGACCTATAATCAGTGTTTCCCGGGTTGCGCACAGGGTGTCCACTTCCTATAGGAGTCATTTCAACTTGCCCAAAAACTGGGGCTTCAGTGGCCAAAAACCGGGGCTTCAGTGGCCAAAAACCCTACCACTCAAATGTTCTTGGAGCTGCTTCACCAAACCTCATAGGTTGTTGCTGATTCCCCTAGTCGCAAAAAAAATGTTGCATTCGCTGCTTGTGCAAGTCTGACATCGCGAAATGCGCCACTCCCCAGTCAATTGCCTGTGGTCTGCTGCCCACAACGCTGCTACATTGGGGATGACGCAATGCCTGTCGAGGGACGACAGGCGTGGGTTTGGATATTGCGTTTCGCGCTTTCCAGGCATTCGCGTTTCGGCACTAAATAAAGTTTCGGCACTTTTTATTATTATCGGCCTTGTATAACAGAAGACAGCAATGAAAAAGCAGTTATTGAGGTCTACATATATGGAAAATTCCTGCTTTAGAGATATGACTCAGGGAGGCTTTGCGAACCATTTGCGAAATATTCCATCTAAAAGAATATTGTCTTGGATGGAATATTTCGCAATTTTTTTCTCCCGTCATAGCTCATTCAAGTTGCGAATCAAGCGGCACGACCTGGAAAATAATCTCCGAGAAGTGATCTTGAGGTTATTATTCAAGTGGCATTCCGTTAAGGGTACAGGGAAAGGAAAAAACGGCGAGGCCCTACGGGTGCAACCGCTCTGTTACTTTTTCATGTAGACTCCGGCGTGATTTTTTGGGCGGCGAAGGCGAACTCGGAAATGCATGATGAATAGCCGCGGAATGTTCATGATGCTGGAAGTTTCTCAAAGTAGCAATGAAACTTTTGCCAGTTCCATTCATATTTGGACTGCAAAATTATAAATGAACTTTCAATTCTTTGAAGGGGATACTATGTGGATGCACTCAAATGGAATTCGTATGATAAATTTAACCAATAATAATTTAATTAAAAGGGTCTTGCAACAACTTTTGGCATGCAGTCCCGAAGCAGGCGTCATGCACCGCGAACTTTTTTTTTCCAGGGTTCATGATGAACTTCATCTCGACGCCAGTGATGTCGGGCTTCACCTCAGCGGCAGCGATCGTCACCTGCGTGAACCAGGTCACCGAACTGTTCGGCCTCTCCTCCGTGGTCCACGCTCACAATTTCGTGCATATCATCCGGGATGTCGCCTACCACTTCAGCGAAACCCACATGTGGGACTTCCTCATTGCCTTCGTCTCCATTTGCCTCCTCCTCTTTCTCCGGGTAAGTTCTGTAGCAAAAGTGAGAACGTGGATGACGCACCCTCCCCTTGAATAATATTTCCCATCAAAGAGAATTATGTAAAACCTGAGTGAGTAAAGGTCAAGGCATTTTTGACGTAGTTAGTTTTGGAGCACATAAGAAGAAAACATTTACAGCAAAAAATATATCCCTTTTTGTGTGCATTTGACGCTGTCACCCGTGATTAAAAGAAAGTTGTTGAAAGTACTCTTGTTCTCACGTTTGCAAGAAACGTAAAGTGATTCCATATTCATAAGTGCAGAAAAAATCATTGTTGGTTCTTTAAATGGAAAGAATCCAATATTCATGGTCCCGCGTTCCTCAACTATTCGTGATGTCCTGATTTCCCGATTCCTTATAAGATACTTTCAGTATGTGAGGGACGCTACATACTAATTACAGTGTTGTTAGCTCTATACACCTGAATTACAGGATTTTGAACCATAATACTCGTATATCACCAGATTAATATATTATGTATTGATAACCCCCCCATTAATCCCCTCCATTGACTAAACTATAAGAACTAGGAAAAAATCGAATATATCATTAGGAAGAGCATTCATTTTCAAATCGAAACATGTAATTCTAGTAATGTGTATGAACATTGCCTGTGCGTCTGACAGTTTAAAGACGAGCGGACGAGCGGGGTAAGATGAAAACAGACGCTTAAATAGTTAAGTGCCGTCTACCACGTCCACGGTAATGTTGCTTAGCGAGGCTTCTCGGGAGAATCCATGCCGCTTCCCTTTCATGGGCTTCAGGGCCTCGAGTTGGTCTTTCGCGATGACGGCGATGCTCTCAGCTACGTTCAGGTCAGGGGAGTTTCCTGGCGATTCGGCATTTCCAAAAAAATAAACCCCTGAGTCTTTCGGCATTTGTTGGTTGGTCGAAGCTTTGAAAAACAGGACATCAACAGGCAGAAGCTAAACGTTGAATCTTCTTGGAGATCTTGAGAGGGTAACGAATTCAGCGCTGGCATCGCAAGCTTCTCAATGCGTAATAGCACGGAAGCGATCGATGAATATAAACTTTTAAAAATCATAACGAGAGCAGGAATAAACTAGGATTGAATAGAGCCTAAAATTGAACGATGGTTCTAAATATATATTTACAGTTTTTCTAGATACTATTGTTTGGGTTGTGGAGGGGAAGGGGCTATCTTTGTGCAATACCCTGTACAATGATTTTGTTGATGATCTCACATTTTCTTGGCTAATTTGGAAAAATGTTTCCTTACACGTAACTGTGTGGCCACCATGAGGTTTCTCACATCGTTTCTTGTTTGCAATCAATAACCTTATTGATACACGTTCATTTTTGGCAATACCATTTTACTTCCTCATACACAAATGCTATTAAATAATATGTTACCACATTTCTTCAAAAACGTTCATCTCGTTTTCAGCGGAAAAAAAATAGTGTAATGACAACCTTACTAACTACCCTTTCCCCCAATGTATGGGCAGACATACTCTGGACCATGTCGTGACGTTAAATGGACACTCAGGTTGCTCGTAATAACCATTTGACGGATGCTTTCCTGGCATGTACTGCCAGACCGAATACAGCTCCAATCGAAACCTGAGAGTGACAAAGTTGACAAAGTCAAGATATAAATAAGATGAACACTTTCCAGAAAGCACGGATGTGGGACTTGTCCAAGGTGATCGGGAACGAGTCAGTCCTCTCGGTGGTGAGCAAGGCGGTCTGGTTCATCAGCACGGCGCGGAACGCCATCGTCATGCTGCTGGGGGCTGTGGTCGCTTACTCCGTCAAGGGGAACGGACCCACCATGCCCCTTTCACTGACCGGTATGGAAGAGAGTGGAGGGGGGAATAGATGATGAGGAAAAATTCATTTTTCGGAGGGCTAGAGGGGAATGCCTTAGCAATATCGGAGTAAACTATCTCTGAACGAAGGGACTAATGAGAGAAGTACCAATTTAATAATAATGACAATGTCGATTTGGGATGATGTAAGAATGAATGATCAATGGCTGGCGCTGGATCAATGTAATGATGGGCCGCTATAATAAAAATAGTTTGTGCAAAAGGTGATGAATCTAAGGAGTTGTGGACATTTCCTTGACTGTGTATATTTTACAATAGCAATTTTTAATAGAATATTATACAATGAGGGCTTCAAAGAATGTTACGGGCTTTCTCAGGAACCGACCTGAGCTCTTCCTGATACATTCCTGAGCGCCGTCTCCTTCGGAAAAATCTTGAATATTGTCATCAGCGAACATAAACATATTGATATGCATTGAAAGTGAGTGCTATTTCTATACCAGTAATGATGTGCGACTGAATTTTGCGTTGCTATTGAGCAAGGTGCCACGAGATCATTACAAATCAAACGGTATTGGACCCGCTCCGAAACAGGCAAGGGAAAAGTCTATCGTGATAAAAGTCTATCGTGTTGCTGCAGTATCCGAAACAAGGGAAAAATAATCTGATCGTTCCTTCTCCTCTGAGCAAAGTTCGTCGACTACCACATCGTCCACGAACACGAGTCAATGAATATCATTTCGATCGAATGCCATGGCGATGCCAAGCCATGCGATTTCCATCGGCAGGGCACGTACGATTTTTATATTTCTATTGATCTCTAATGCCCCTCCCCATACGGTAATCTTCGACAACTTGTTCTCCTCGGGAAAACGGAGGTAAAACTTGTAAATTAAGGGTTCATTGAGCTTTAAATTAAATGGGCACCTTTTTTCAAGTGATCGATTTTTTTCGGTCACTATTAAACGATGTGTTCTTTTATGACAAATTTGAAGGTTTCTCCAACAGACGGATGTGACTTTCAAATCAACAAAATAACCATGTATATATTCCTTTAAAGGCATTGCACATTAATTCCCTTGATATTGAATAACTCAGCCCCACGAAGCTCACCTTTGCGAGCTCCTGTTTCGACATTATGTGCGTAATGTACTAATATCGGATTATATTATAATGTAGACAATTAACGAAAAAAAATTAATGGACAAAGAAAAAGTTATATGAAAGTTAGATAGTTAAAGGAAATTAAAATTCAAGAGAGAGGACATGCGTTGCTGTTTGAGGACTACATGACTCGTTCTTATCGAACGGGGGAATAGGGAATGTGGTTCCTGGCATCCCGCCCTTCGCCGTCCCACCGTTCGTGGCAGAGAAGGACTTCCTGGGGAAGATCTGGCAGCTGCTACCAGCGATTTTCATCATCCCGCTTGTTGGGATCCTCGAGAGCATTGCAGTCTCCAAAGCATTCGGTGAGACATGAGGCGTTCCTCCCAGAAGGTTATATTAACTTCGACTACAAGAGCTACAAGGCTCAAAAGAGGTGGTTCTGAAATTATTTTTAAAATATATGAAGTGGAGGTAACTGAGAACCAAAAATAGATCGTTTAAAAAGTAATGCGTCATTGTTGTAATGTGAAGTCAATTGATCTGCCCCTTAGCTCGAGGGAAGGCGATCGACTTCAACCAGGAGATTTTCGCCCTTGGTCTCTGCAATTTGGCTGGGTCATTCTTCTCCTCCGTTCCCACAAGTGGATCGTTATGCAGAACCGTCGTGAATGCAGCGTCTGGCGTGAAGACTCCGGCCGGAGGAATTGTTACTGGTGAGTTTAACGCAATGACACTAGAATCCTAGGAGATTATGATATTATAATTAATTTCCATTGAATGGAAAAACTGCTGAAAATCCCAATCACCTTCAGTATCGTTTACATTCCACATCCTTTTAATTATAGCGCTTTCCTACTTAAACTTTTTTTAAACTGTTTTTTTTTATTTGATTTTCTTTAACTGATTTTTCGATGTTTCCATTGGGATTGAGTTTATTTGTATTTTTGCTTCAAGTTTCTATAAATATTTACTCGGTGAGGTCATAACGAACCTGGCACTGCAGGGTCCTTGGTGCTGCTGGCTTTGGCGGTGCTCACGCCTTACTTCTACTACATCCCCAAGGCCTGCCTGGCGGCCGTGATCATCTGCACGGTCATCTTCATGTTTGAGTACAAGGAATTCCTGAAGATCTGGAAAGTCAATCGTGAGTTTTAACTTGTTTCGGGAATCTTCGTACGCCTGGTATGAAGCAAAAAATCTGACCCAGAAGTTGAAAGGTCCAATATCGCACGTGTGGCCCTGTATTAAACCGTAAATATCGGCGACTCTCAATGACTATGTGGAGCTTCCAGAGTCATTTGCACATGAATTTTCCAGTGTATCAAAATAAGAGACAAATATGGCTTGAACTGGTACGTCGGTTTAATGAGATCCGTCAACTCTTCGTTTCAAAAATTCAACAACTCCAGTTCATTTCCCGGCAGTACTCGGAGGGACAACGTAGGATATGTTCCTTCAACTTGACCAAAAATCACATTTTTAAATTTAAAAGTTAATCCTCCCAGGATATGGAGAGAATATGATACCATATATAGCTTAAATCAATCTTGTTCTTGAAAAGAATATCCCCAACATCCACATAGGGAAGTGAATACTGCACTGCTTGGCATGCGCTGATGTTATTTCAGTTATTAATAGTGACACTATTTTTCAGTTTGCTTCAATTGCTTTCAGGCAGACACAGTCAATAGTATGTACATTGGAACTTGTTTTCGGTATGAGAAATGATGCCACTGTTGGGCTCGCATTTTTATGTTGATATGCTAACACAAACATACCTACACAATGTATAATTATTTTAAACGAAGATAACAACGACCGGTGAAGGTGTGATTGAAACTACGCAAGAATATCGAAGGGAATGCCCAAAATGCTCTCATTACCTTAGGCAGCCTCTTTCAGCCTTCCCCGCTACCGCTGGAAGAGTGTTCATTTGTGTACAAATCGATCTAGGACCGCAAAAACGTGAGAAAGTATTTGTAATGGTTCTTCACAAGTCAAGAAGGAAGGGAATTACCCACCCTCAAAATTAGCTAACCGCGTCTAAATTAGTACGTTCTTCCCAAAAATAAAAAAATATTCAAAAGTTTTTGCGGCCGAAAAAAAAAGACTCAAGTGATATTTGGCCCTTCGTGTTTCGAAACGTCCTTTGGACCTATGGGGAGGAAATGTCTCCGCCGTTTATCCGACTCTGCCAGCCAACGACATTCCTTTGCAGGGTGGGAACTAGTTCCATGGCTGGCCACATTCCTTCCCAGCATCCTTTTGGGACTGCACTACGGCATCATGGTTGGAGTGGGATTGGATCTCGTTCGGCTCCTCTTCGACGTCGCCCGGCCGAATGTGGTTTTGGAGAAGAGACAGGTATGTGATATTCGAGAAAATTCTCCTACTCCTTCCGAGGTTCCATGAACGGCACTAATATAGGGTTAGAACCAATTGTGCTTAAAATAAATGTAATACGGTATCAGCCATTTAAAATGAAAGGAAAAACTATATCACTCAATATTAGCCCTTTCACTGCTACGCCCGGATATACCCGTTTTGAAACTTTCGGTTTTTCTTTCATTTACCTGTGTCCCTTAGAGGGATTGGAGTGTTCCAGCATGTGCTGCTATCTATATAGACTTATTCGGAACTGCTTGTACTGACTTTACTTCACTCTGAACGTAATGAAAAAAACTTGTAGAGGGCGCCCTCACATGTTTACTCACGCCAAAAATTGTATTGAGAAAATGGTACGGCCAAGCACTTCTCGCCGTCGGAATCCTTCCTATAAAGATATTTCTGACATATTTATGAATGATCTGATGAAGAGGGTGAGTTTTTGGATAGTTCGTATGATACAAGTAGCGATAGTGATAATGAAGATGGGCCAGTGAGAAAATTTTGACCACATCCTCATTTCTGTTGAGGACATGTAATTGGACTAAAGACCAAATCTGAAGGTAAGAAAAACAAATTTAAATAATTTCTCTTAATTTTAAAGGTTTTATAATTTTTTTACATTTTCAAAAAATCTCAGCAGTGAAAGGGTTAATAGACATTGTCAATTCATTGCAAATTCAACAATATATAATAAATATGCGATAAAAAGACAAAAAGCTGATTTCCTGGCTAAGAGTGAATGGAAAAAGCAACCATTAATAATCCGTTGAATGTGAATCAAATTATACATTGGGGAGAGATATGACGGATTCTGCAGATTGAAACTGCTACATGCGGAATCCCGAAATGACCTGGTGCTTTATTGTAGATGGAAGGTCATAAATACCTAGTGGTGAAGCCGGAGGGTTCCGCCATGTTTCCTGCTGTGGAACATGTTCGAAGGGTCCTCATCAAGAGGTCCGGGAAGAATCCTGACCTCCCGGTCATCATTGACTGCGAGAAGCTCACGTCCATCGACTTCACCTCCGCCAAGGTGAGAAGAGAAGACCATGGGGGATTTGGGAGACGAAGGTGTTAAGCATGGGTTCCTTACCAGATGCTTGATGTGACCTTCTCCGACCTGGCGGAGCGAGGTCAGGAGCTGGTGTTCATCCATGGGGATGACCGGGTGAGGATGATTCTTCAAAAGAAGCTCGGATCCCACTTCCACTTCTACGAGAGCTACAGCGATTGGATCACAGCCACCTTCACACCGAACTGTAAGCCTCGACTGTTCCTTGCCATTTCGGACAGGTAAAGGCGTAGCCAGGAGCTGGTGGGGGGAAGGGGTAAAAANATCCCACTTCCACTTCTACGAGAGCTACAGCGATTGGATCACAGCCACCTTCACACCGAACTGTAAGCCTCGACTGTTCCTTGCCATTTCGGACAGGTAAAGGCGTAGCCAGGAGCTGGTGGGGGGAAGGGGTAAAAAAGTAGGATTGCATCCTCCCCGCTCTTTCCCAGACGCAATTAGGTAACTTGGGGAATATGGCCCTAGAAAATGAAACCTGGTCATTTCAAGCCTTTCAAGGTCGAATTTTGCTTTTACTTTCCACAAAAATTTTGGAGGGACATTAGAATAACTTTTAACAAATGGCCTCTGCATCCATGCTGACATTAGGAAATATACGTTAAAGTTGCTCGAGGCGCATTTTCACTTCAGGATTATGAGTTGAAGAATCGCATGCATATGACATTTAAGACATCCATGTATCCCGAACCTGAATTAATGAACAGGTCTAAACTTTTCGACAATTCCATTTATCCTTTGATGTAACTATTTTTAAATTTGCTCAAACTAATTATTCAGCTTCTTAGGGAATTCATTGCAAAATGGCTATATTACCCGAAATTGCCCTTTTTTCTGCTAGACGCATTTCCCCGACTTTAGCATTATATTATCTCTTATGGCTCAAACCGTGCGAAAATTGATCCCCATTTTAGAAATATAGCTACAACAACGGCTAGGATACAGCAGTAAAATGTTCATGATTAAATTGATGATGGTGGAATAGTCTTCCCACATCACCAATATCAATCACCGTTACAATTCCTAATGTTGCAGAATTACTGAAATTCCTTGTGATGAATATTGATGAATGAGGTTAATAAGCAATACTGAAGAGTAAGGTGGGCCTAATATCAAATGGTGTCCCTGCAAGGAAACAATACTGTATTCCAACCGCGAAATATATGTTTGGAATTATTTGCGTCGCATTCCTTGATAAGAATCGTCTCATCTGCCCATATTATTTTCCTGAAACGAGAAATTCGTTGCATGCTAATAGATTTTCGTCAAAAACCGTCTATTCATCAGAAACAAGCACGCTGGTGAGAGTTACCCTGAAATCTTGTTTCATTGGCTTGGATTTAGAAGTCATTAGGCAAATGAAGCATTGGTCGAAAGTGATTATGTTGAAATGATGAAAGTGGAAAATTTGAACTTGGAGTTGTATGAGTTCTATTGCTGACAGTTCAGGAACGATTCCGCCCCCTTTCACGTGCATTCTGCTGATCAGAATGCATCATGTTGATGCATTATGTGTTTGCCGCAGTGACCAACCGGAAAAGGAAGATGCCGAGATCGGCCTCGAGGGTCATCTCCGTGCATGGCGAGACCGTCGAGGAGCCCATAGACAGCGACGAAGATTTCAAATGGGATTCGCCCTGATTGCCTTCGAAAGCGAAATTCAGCGACTTCTCTTCCTCTCCCCGTCTGATGAATTTAGCATGAAATAAAGAAACCAGTAACCATGAACGAATGCATCCAGAGAATTTCCAAGCAGTGAATTCGACTCGTTTTTCTCAAGTGAATCCCCGACCTACCTGATGCAGGTCTTGCTGAGCTTTCATGGAAACCTTGCCAAACGGTAGTCACAAGAGGAAAAAAAAAATCATTAGTAATAGGTCCCAAAACCTTGCCAAGTCACGAATTTGCGTTGAACGAAGAGCTCGATATATTTTTCCCACGTGCTTATCCTGAATACTGAAAGTGCAATTACGAATTATGAGAATACAAATGAAAGACCAAGCATGCGACGTGTGATTTTTTAAATAGATCCCGTACGGATTTTATTTTTCCTGACGCTGTGGTCCCGTCTGGGGACTGTTTCACTCCAGCTCGGCAATGAGACTCCATCGAAGTCTCCGTATTGGAAAATTCAAAGGAAAAAATTACTTACTTCTACGAGAGCTACAGCGATTGGATCACAGCCACCTTCACACCGAACTGTAAGCCTCGACTGTTCCTTGCCATTTCGGACAGGTAAAGGCGTAGCCAGGAGCTGGTGGGGGGAAGGGGTAAAAAGTCGGATTGCATCCTCCCCGCTCTTTCCCAGACGCAATTAGGTAACTTGGGGAATATGGCCCTAGAAAATGAAACCTGGTCATTTCAAGCCTTTCAAGGTCGAATTTTGCTTTTACAAGGTTTCTAAAATATTTATTGATAATTCCTTTACTAAATCCCAGCAAGGCATATTCAAAAAGACCTAGGGAGGCCTTTGGATCTTTTTAAAGCTGATCCGAAGAGGCCATATTACCCCTATAGTTGGGGGAACATGGCCATTTCTAAATAATAAAAAAACCAAGGTTTTCCAGGAAAGTGTGACCTGCTGAACACCTTGAAACATAAGGAAGGACGCTCATCAGTTGAAAAAGAAACACTAACTGCACAACAGAACAAGCAAAGAAGTCGACATCATTACCTGACACGAGGAACTGTTGTGGAAAGCAATATTGCAAAGCTTTCTCTTTTGAGTAACATTGCACGTGCTTCGGAGACAATATCTTGAGACTGTGGGTGTAAGAGGAGAGATCACGATTAAAGTGAACATGCGCTACGAGAGTGAGTTATGAGGTCTTTCATTGCAGGAAAAACGTTACGAAGTTTTTCAATACATGCGTACTGTATATAGTGTCAAAATATTCACCGAATGCCCTTTTAACTTTCTTGCACGAGAGATATTTAATTGTCATCTAATTTCATTGCTCAAAAATTTCTGGAGTTGTCAAACGGATGTCCAGGAAATGCATGACCACATCCTCTTGCACCGCTTCCTCGTGAACGTGAGGAAGTTCATTGTATGTTCTTTCGCTGCCTGAGGTCTCACATGAAAGGAAGCTGACACTGCCAAAGGTCAGTGCGGTGCTACCATGAAATGAAGGATGCGTCCATATCACCCAAAATCGAGATGGCCATATTCCCCCATATTGACATTCATGACAAAATTGACAGCAATGCCTGCAAACCGCAAGTGAAGGGGCTAGCACTTTCCACAAAAATTTTGGAAGGACATTAGAATAACTTTTAACAAATGGCCTCTGCATCCTTGCTGACATTAGGAAATATACGTTAAAGTTGCTCGAGGTGCATTTTCACTTCAGGATTATGAGTTGAAGAATCGCATGCATATGACATTTAAGACATCCATGTATCCCGAACCCCAGTGAGACCTGAATTAATGAACAGGTCTAAACTCTTCGACAATTCCATTTATTCTTTGATTTAACTATTTTTGAATTTGCTCAAACTAATAATTCAGCTTCTTAGGTAATTCATTGTGAATGGCCACATTACCCGAAATTGCCCTTTTTTTCCGCTAGACGCATTTCCCCAACTTTAGCATTGCATTATCGCGAAAAGTGATCCCCATTTTGGAAATATAACTACAACAACGGCTAGGATACAGCAGTAAAATGTTCATGATTAAATTGATGATGGTGGAATAGTCTTCGCACATCACTGCACATTTGGATAAGAGGTAACGCGTACTTTTCAGCATGGCTGCTTTTGATTTGAAACGTCAATATCAATCACCGTTACAATTCCTAATGTTGCAGAATTACTGAAATTCCTTGTGATGTATATTGATGAATGAGGTTAATAAGCAATATTGAAGAGTAATGTTGGCCTAATATCAAATGGTGCCCCTGCAAGGAAACAATACTGTATTCCAACCGCCAAATATATGTTTGCAATTATTTGCGTCGCATTCCTTGATAAGAATCGTCTCATCTGCCCATATTCTTTTCCTGAAACGAGAAATTCGTTGCATGCGAATAATTTTTGTCAAAAACCGTCTAGTCATCAGAAGCATCTCACGCTGGTGAAAGTTACCCTGAAATCTTTTTTTTGGCTTGGATTAAGAAGTCATTAGGCAAATGAAGCATTGGTCGAAAGTGATTATGTTGCAATGATGACAGTGGAAAATTTGAACGTGGAGTTGTATGAGTTCTATTGCTGACAGCTCAGGAACGATTCCGCCCCCTTTCACGTGCATTCTGCTGATCAGAATGCATCATGTTGATGCATTATGTGTATGCCGCAGTGACCAACCGGAAAAGGAAGATGCCGAGATCGGCCTCGAGGGTCATCTCCGTGCATGGCGAGACCGTCGAGGAGCCCATAGACAGCGACGAAGATTTCAAATGGGATTCGCCCTGATTGCCTTCGAAAGCGAAATTCAGCGACTTCTCTTCCTCTCTCCGTCTGATAAATTTAGCATGAAATAAAGAAACCAGTAACCAAGGAACGAATGCATCCAGAGAATTTCCAAGCAGTGAATTCGATTCGTTATTCTCAACTGAATCCCCGACCTACCTGATGCAGGTCCTGTTGTGCTTTCATGGAAACCTTGCCAAACGGTAGTCACAAGAGGAAAAACAAAATCATTAGTAATAGGTCCCAAAACCTTGCCAAGTCACGAATTTGCGTTGAGCGAAGAGCTCGATATATTTTTCCCACGTGCTTATCCTGAATACTGAAAGTGCAATTACGAATTATGAGAATACAAATGAAAGACCAAGCATGCGACGTGTGATTTTTCAAATAGATCCCGTACGGATTTTATTTTTCCTGACGCTGTGGTCCCGTCTGGGGACTGTTTCACTCCAGCTCGGCAATGAGACTCCATCGAAGTCTCCGTATTGGAAAATTCAAAGGAAAAAATTACTTCATCCAGGAATTTCCCCATTTCGGAGGAATTAATTAATTTTGAAGAAGAATGCTCATCGAAAACCAAGGCGAACCACCCACGGGTGCATAGAAGGTTGATCGATTTTCAATCATGTAATGTTTCAAATTACTTAGAGAATTCTCCTCCAGCCAACCTTCATGAATAACACAACGGGCTCGCTTTTATAATATACCTGAGAGGGTCCATTGAATGGGGCAAGTCTATTTTTACGGGAAAGACAAGTGATCGACAGTCTCATGCAGGAATTGCACTCTCAAATATTAAAATTGACAAATTGAGTGCTGCGGCGGTGTAAAACGTCATCTAAAAACTGACGGTTCTTCAAGCACGAGGACGACACCTCAGCGTCTCCAAAAGGTAAGACTCAACTTTCCCCTCTCAAATTTTTTTTCCCACTTCGTCGCAATTTCTTGTCGCTCCAAATTATGCTGTTATATATTTTTTATTCGCTTGAGATGTGCCCGCCGCAAAATTGGCATCAGAGTTGTACGTCAAAAGGAAGACTTTTTCGGAAATAACAACGGGAGTATTTCGGTACCATATTACACATTTATGTCACATCTGGAGAACACTTCGAATTTGCGTTACTCACTATTCCTAGGAATGGAATTATCAGAATTTGTTCTAGGTCAAATGTTACTTTCATCCAATTAACCATAACGATAAGAAAATCATTTCCTAGATAAACTCGTAAATTGAAGCTCATAGCTCAGACAGCTGAAACTGATCTAGTAACTTAAAGGACGGTATGCAGATATTAGTCATAATTATTTACTCACCAAACATGCATAACTTACAAATGGAAAATGAAAGGCTGTCAAAAGTGCGTTCCGCAATTAAAATGGGAAAATGGAATGTGTTATGAATTAAATACCCATATAATAAGAAAATGACAATGTTATTCCATTTTGCGTTTAAATTATTATGTTGCCGGAAAGTTGTTAAGCAAAGATATGTTTATTCTGCTATTTCTGGAGTTAGTTTTAATAGACCTGAGACTGCTGGATTCCTTGCGCATTCATATTTGCACTTACGCGTGGAGCAATGAGGAATAATTCATTTTAAAAAATAATATAATATATAACAAATAAATAAGAGAAATTAAGTTATATTGTGCCAGATGGTGACTCGCTGTTTTCCCGATTGAAGATGACCCGAGTTCCAGCCCAGGCACGGGCTCCCGAAACCCGAACGACCTCGTCCGCAAGGAAGGACCTCGCGATTCGGACGACACGAAACGACAACGAAATGAACGGAACGCAGAGTTCCGTTCCAAAAGTTCCAAAGTTCCCAAAGGACCAGTCGCGACGGCGGAAAATTTTCTGTCGCGAAGGCACGGAGAGAGGGAGGACCATCCGCCGCATCGCGAAGGCAATCGTGATCGCGGCGTGTGCGGCCCTCGCAGCGAGGCAGGTGAGGAACGGCTAAGCCCAACATTAAGCAGGACATATTCCAATACGATGGGTATTTATGAGATTGTTCATTGCAGGTGATTCTGATGGTCGAGGAGTACCTGTCATTCCCGACTACCACGCTGTACGTCTTACGCGACATAAGCACTGTCCAGGCTCCAGCAATTACCATATGTCCCACAATTTTGCCGACGACTCTTCAATCCATGAAGGACAAGATGTGCAAGAACGCCGCCTTGTCATTAAAAGACGTAGTATTGGACTGGTTCACTCTATTTAAAAATTCCTCAATTGTCAATGGGGAAATGACCTACGAGCTTGAAGATTGTGAGTTTTAAAAGATTTCCCCGAAAAAAAGTGGGCAAAATGGAGTGGATTGAATCGCAGACGAGTTATGCTTCATTCCGTAGATAGTGGGCATTGGAGCGAGCAAATATTCCTTGACATAGCCAGCGTTTT